TTTTTTTTTTTTTTAAATGAAAGAATATTGTCAAAATAATATTTTGTCAAAGTTTGAGAGAGCCCTACCACAAATTTCTATTAAAAAACAGCAAAAAATGTGCTCGCAGCAGACGACTTGGCAACGCTGCTTTTGGAGCACGCTTTGAAATGTAACGAATAGTAAAAACTCCTTTTGTAATTGAAAATTTAATTATAAAAAATTCAACTGAAGAAATAAGTACACTGTCATCAGTAGACGACGACAACAGCAGTAGACGACAACAACAGTAGACGACGTGCCAGCAGCCGAAAAAATTCACAACGTTGCCAGACGCTCTCCCTCCCCTTGCCTCTCTGAGATTTCCCCCCGCTAACACTACCGAACCTCCTTAAACAACTATAAACAACGCTACTGCGAGCTCAAAACTCTCAAAAGTACTCCACTTATCGTTGATACTTTTTTTTCCTCCAGTCTTCGAAGTCAACAATTTGGAATATCTGGTAAGAAAAATGCGTACCTCGTTAACAAAAATAACGTATGATAAAAGGTATAATACGGAAATATAACTACTTTGTTAGCACATCAAGTGAGGAAAAATTTTCAATCTCTATTGTTTCTCATTTGTGATAACAATTTGTATATTTCTTGTTCTCATATAACTTTATTGTTTAGGCACTCCCTATTTTATTTTCCACTATCATTTATTGCCACAAAATTAAACTTTTTTCCGCTCTTATAAACACCGGCATTCTGAAGTTTGCTTGAAATATGTTGTTTTTATAGGTTTTACCTAGTTATAACAATGTTGGAACAAGAGAAAAAAGTTTTACCGAGGAAGCTTAAGTCTCTGTCTTGTTAGATCATTAAAAAGTATACCGTCAAGCCAAAACCTAAGAATCTGATATCTTCCGAGAAGATGAGATTGAAAGGTAACGAGTTATTTGAACGGAAGGTCCACGATTTTGATGCACATGAATTCATTTGGCAAAGATACACAATGGCCATAGCCCTTGCCCCAACCAAGTCTGAAGAGCTAGCAATAGCTTGTACCAACAGATCAGCTCTACTCTTACACTTGTTGAAGTGAGGACTGTATTGTCGATATTGATCGGGCACTAAGTATCACTGATTCTAATCTATCAAAAGCCAAATGGCTATGCCGTAAGGCCAAGTGCTTTCATGCCCCTGATGACTTGCCAAGTGCTCACAAGTTGATGCAAGAAGCTAAGGGTCACATTGAACTCATCACCCACAAGAACAAAGATCACACCAAAGTGCTGACTCTGATTGAATTGACTGAGAAATTAATCAGCAAAAAATATTCTAACCCAAGTGAAAAATTTAACGATCCCAAGATGCCAGAGCTTAACATTGAAACAGAAGACTTTAGTAACGTCACAGACAAGTACAGTCCAAAACTAGGAAGACACCTTGTCACAACTCGTGACATTGCCCCTGGGGAAGTGATATATGTCGAAGAACTATACTCGGTATCTATTTTACATTCCAAAAAAGCATATCCCTTCTGCAGTCATTGTCATGCTGCATGTTTGACAACAATACCATGTGATTTGTGTTCATCAGTTATGTTTTGCTCTGAAAAATGTAAGACCGACGCTTGGAATGAATACCACGACATTGAGTGCTATACTTTAGCGGATTACATGAAGGGAAATAGTACAGATAGTATTATACACAACGTTATTCATATTACAGAATCTCAAACTTCTTCTGGGAAAAATTAACAAAAAAAAAGGTAAGCCTAAGTTTACTTTCATTTTCTACATTTCACCCATTAAGTTTTAAAATAAAAAAAAAAACAAGAAATAGTCACGATGTTTTCACTTTACAGAAAATCCTACAGAAAAAGTCATTATTGATGGAAATCTAAAAATGAACAAATTCTTAAAACTATGCCAATTGGTTGCAACTGAATCATCTTTTACTTTAGACAATTATTCAGACATAGCCTTGCACACTTTGATTTCTTTGGCTTTGAACACTACGTTTTTTGGGAAAAAATTTAATGCTAAAGAATGTAAAATTTTGTCCAGTAACAAGGATATTGTGTTTTTGGGATCACTCATTTACAGGATTACTACATTTGTTGCCAATGGAATCGAAGTGAGTATTTTCATGAGTAAAGTACTATTTGTTATTTAAAAAGAATTTTCTGTTTCTGATTGTGCGATTGCTTCAGAAAAATTTTTCTTTGAATGTTAATATGTTATAATGTAATTTAGAAGAAATACTTGAAAAAATCAAATGTTACTCAACTTATAAATAATTAATTGCAATCACGACTAAAAGTGCATTTCATGTGATAACATTTTTATGAAGATTTCGAATATACGGGATTTAATGAGAAGACGAACTGGCCGTAATTTTACCATTGGTGCCGCAATACCAAGTGTGTTTACTTGTTTTGTTAAACATAGCTGTGATCCAAATGCCAGCAAAATCTTTAATCAAGCTAGTACTTTAGCCGTCTATGCTTTGAGACCAATAAAACAGGGTGAAAAGGTATTGCAGTTTTAATTTCATTTATGTTTTTAAGTGTATCATGCGATAAATGATTTTTAAAAAATTTTTATTCAATCTAATTTTAGATACTCGCGGCTTATGTCGATAATTATAGAATACAGGATAAATTTTCGAGACAGATGTATTTATTAGAATATCACCAATTTACATGTAACTGTCGAGCTTGTAAAGAAAATTGGCCTCCTCTACTGAATACAACTGACTCCATAATGATGGTATTATTTATCCTTTTGAATATTAACTATATAATTATATATAAGAACAAGTTTGTGCTCAAAAAAATTTGAAATTTATTTTTAGATGAAACCAAAAAACTACGAAAAGAAGCTGTTTAAAACGCCACTAGAACTAGAGTTGTACAGAAAACATGAGCCAGTGATTGCAAAAAACTATCAACCTATTTACAATTTTGTGTGCACTCAGAAAATGTTGTCGGATTTGGCACGATCAATAGAAACTGCTCTTAAAGAAATACCCCAACCTTCAGCTGTAACCTGCTTCTTGCTTGCAGCATTAAACTTAGTTAGTAGTCACTTGTATTCGTATGTATATCCAATATCTGATAACTGCGTAACAAATAAGTTTTCTTTGCCTCACTAAAAGTAATAATTTTTTAACAACTCTTTAATTTATTTAATGCATGCTAGAAATTTAAATCATTACAATAGAGCTTGATTGTATTTACTTACAATTATGACAAGCTTCCTAATTTTTTTGTATTTTTCAAATCAAGAAGTATTTATGTGAGTGTTAACTATAGCTCAAAAACTAGTTGCAGTTTTAAATTCCTCTACTGGAGTGTAGTTTATGAAATCAAACAGTTCAATGTAATTTTGTGCAGTTACTTTCAAGTTTATTGTAATTTTTATTATATTAAATAAACTTTTTTTCAAACAAGTAGACTAGGCTTACGCTATTTCCAAAATAATTAATAAAGAATTAAATTCTACATCGCATAAAATTGAAAACGTTGATAAATTATACTAAAAAAAAGTAGACCTTTTGACTGGCAAAAACAATATTTCAGCAGTATATTATAGAGAAAGAGGATATATCTCGATTCCATACGACTACACAGCGGGCTACATTCGAAATGTGACGAAAAAGGACAGAAGAATCAATCAATCGATCAGAGATATCAATAGCAAACGTGAACAGTTACTTACCCATCATACTCACCGTCGGCGATGTTGCTTGACTTCACTGATCGACCGTAATGGTAAATAACATATGTATGTCTACTTTACATTCACAAACTCATACAAGTCTTTTTATTCTTGGAGTGTTGGGAATAGCTTACTTTCTGGACGAGAAGTGTGTACTTTTTTTCCTTACATAAGTCCACATATGGGTATGTTGCATAGTTTGTTTAACTTAATTTTAAAATTCCAAAACGTATATTTACAATACTAAATAAAAAAACACTACATTTTAACGGGGGAGGGGTATATATAGAATACATTCGCAGCCTTACCACAAATTTCAAAATTTCAAAAATCATTAGCTATCACTGGAATCTTAAAATAATTAATAAAGAAGAAAAGGTAATATGAGTTATACCTAAGTATTATATACACCACACTGGCGTGGAGCTAGCACAGCGGATGGGACATATACCTACTTACTACATAGCAGGGATATCCTATAGGGGATACGGAAAAACCACAGAGGTTCCTGAAAAAAGGTGCGGTCAGAGCCGGGATTCGATCCCCGGTCGAGTAGATTGACGAGCAATAAGTGCTCTATCATTAAGGCGAAGAGACTCGCATGAAACTTGAAAAAACCAGTTAACTGGTTGGAAAGTCGGACATTTGAGTAATGAATTTTACCTCGAAAAAAGTAAGATTTTAAACAAGAACAATTTCCTTAAGAGAAATTAAAAATGTCATGACAATTTAAAAGTTTAAATTAATTAATTTAATTAAAAAATTAAAGTGTAAATTAATTTTTTTTTTTCTAATTATAATACCTATCTACAAAAAAAATACTATAATCTTATTATGCATAAATATTTCTTATAAGTTGCAATAATAGTTTAAGTAAATTCAAGCTTGGCAAAGTACCATCGTAGATCTGAACTTTTGAAAAGAAAAAACACGAAAAAAAAAATCCACAACACTCAAACTGGTATTACATTTTTTTTTTTTAATTTTTAGGGTGACTTGGACCGCCTTCTGTATAAATACACTTATAACAATAAGTTATACAAGATAAAAAAAATCACCAGAAAAGTACCGGAAAATAATAGTTGTAAAAATTAATAGATTTTTTTAAAGCACCTAAAATGGTACGTACCTGGCGCATGTACATACCGACGGCCTGGACGAAGAAAAGCTTAGCTCAGGCTGCGATTACATGGACTAAAAGAATATCCTAAACTTGTCAAATTCACGTCTAAACTTGACGTAAGACACGAGTACAAGTTTGGGATATTTTTTGGTCCAAATAATCACAGCCTCAGACTTCCATGTTATTTTGAAAGGCAACATCTGAGATAAGCTTTTCTTCGTCCGGGCCGTCGATACACATTCAGAAGCAGCTCAAAGGAGAAATATTGATATATTTTATACTTTTCTTCCTTTATACTTTGTAGTAATTCCCATAAGAGTACGTGTTAAAGTGGCAATTTTTCAGCAGTTGCGATGTAAGTACTCGAAAATAAACTGGTTGACCATAATATTATGCATATTGAGCATACTTTATTGACATAATATCTGAATTTCTGGTTTTTATCATTCTAATAAAAAATGCCGAAGCCACCTTAAAACGTATTTTTTCGTAATGTGCATTGGGATGTTCGTTATTATTTCCCAATCGATCATGTACCCCTTGATATCTCTTTGGTAAAGTACACCCCAAAACTAAAATCTATATCCTAAAAATCAATTTTTCAACTTTGTTCAATTTTTTTTGGCCATTTTAAAAAGTTCATGTTCATTTTTAAACCGTCAGACTTTATTATGTATTACTTAAGCGTGATACATCTCGCAAGCCTATAGAAGAAAAAAAAATACATCTAATTCTTACTACTCAGGTATGTACTTCTGTTGAGCAGAAAAAATTGTGTATTAAATTGGGAAAAAGTGTAGGGAGTAGTCAAGTGAAAATTATAACAAGGGGCGTAACGTTCTATTTTTAGCATAACCATCAAAATTACTAAAGTTCTATTTCTGTATTTATGGAACTTTAATTTTCGGAACGTGCGTACATTAGTTTGAAACATTGTTCTAAATAATAAAACAATTGTGAGTGACTTTAATGTAGGTATATATGTAGTGAATGAACCTCGGAATGAACATCCGTCTGGCTGACAGTGAGTAAAATTTCATCCTCTCGATGGCAAAATAAATCCCTCTACTGAGCTAGAAAGCTTTCATTACAGTCGTAGACGATTAAAAAAAAAATATATCCATAATTATCCAAAAAATGACACATTTCAATCCTAAAAAAAAAAAAAAAACCCTAAAAAAAACTAAAAAATGTAATGCCAAAGTTTGAGAATTATTAATTTTTTTTAATTCTCAAAAAAAAAAGTTTACGTGATAATCTTTTGCCATGCTTGAGTATACTTACTCAAATTATTGTTGCGTTTGGTATATTTTTACATTTTGAAATCTTTTTAAAAGATAATTTTTGCTCAGTTGAATATAAACATCAAAAATTACTTCCTTTGTCTCTGTAACGTATATTTTTGGTCCGCATAGATATAGATGTATTAATGTGGTAGTCTCGGCTTCAGAATTTCAGATAGGGTTTTCTACGAACTCAGTCTTATTAAGCATATATCACCCAACATGAATGCAATGGTAATGCCAATAATGTAAATAACAAGCCTTACGGCGTATTTTTTTCTCTATAAGAGCTACTGCTGTAGCTGTCTTTGTTGCGGCGCAGTTATGAATATACCTAAGTATATATAGGTATATAAAGTTACTTCGTATTGTACTTACAAGTTTACATGCTTACAACCGCCTTAGTCAATTCGTAACAGTGCTTATAAACAGTCATAAACGCGTCGAGCGATTTGCATTGCAACTTGCAACGCATATAAAGTACAGTCCTGTGCCTGTAACTTCTCCGACAATTTACTTAGTTGCAGCTTTTTTTGTGACTTTTTGACGAAAAAGGTAATTTTAATTATATTTCTTATTGTTATCAATGTTGACGATTCCAACAAGGAAATCCGTTTGGATTTTGTACCAAAAACTCTACATAGATATAAATAGCATGCGTCTACCCTGTTTTTACGCGTTAAAATCAATGCAAATATACATAAATCACCCTCACAAGGATAAACATTTTTGGAACAAGATTTATTTAGATTTTTTTTTTTTATTAATCGTTGGTCAATTGCAAATGTGCTTCAGCGTCTCTCGTGCTTACTTTTATTACGTAAAATTCAAGAACGAATTTCTCACGCCTGTGTGCTGTGAAGCTTCAATTTCAAAATCGTACTAATTCATGAAAATTTTATATTGGATTGGATGTTGGAAATTATAATGCTACATCTTTATTTATATACACACACACTAGCCCAATGCTAAACGTCGGGCTATTTCCAACACTGGTCGTAGAATTGCAAAAAAAATTCTATTGTGTGATATTTTGGGTCAAGTGCATACATATATATTTCAATTTTTGCTGTGGATATGTGCAGAGTCCTATTGTTAGTACGTTTATAAATTTTAATGAGTATGAAAATTTTACAGGGAATAACACAATAAATGACGTGTATATAAGTATGCAAACACATGGGAGTAAAAATAAAAAGCTTCTAGTGCTCATATATCTCTCATTTTTTTGTATTGCTTTATGCTTGCTCGATGTTTATGAATAATGAAAATAAAAAAAAAAAATTGAAATAATTTTTTTTACACGTTTTGTTGCCCAGTCCATTTTTTAATAAACACGATGGAGGAAGAAAAGAACGCCATGATCAGGGAATTTTTGGATCCTCGAAATGACAATGTAATATATGGACTTATGCGAAGGATCTCAAAAAGCGATGAAATTTCTAGGCTTGACAGAGAAAAAGGAAATATTTTGTATAGCTCTAGAAGACATGACATGACAACCCACGAAAGAATTTGGCAGCTGTACTGTATGAGCATAGCAGTAGCTTTTCCAGGATCAGTTGCACAGGAACTCGCTTATGCCAATAGATCCGCTTTTCTCATGCACTTGTACAAATACAAAGAAGCTATCGTAGACATTGACAGAGCAATCAGCATTTCAAAGTCCAATGACTCAAAACTTAAATGGCTGTGTCGCAAAGCCAAATGCCTCTCACACATTAAATCACCAGATACAAGAAAAGTGTTGCAAAAAGCTAAATTCTTTATGAGCAGTGTTTCGGATGAAAAAAGCTCAGCAACATTGATAAAGGAAACTGGAAAGTCTATAAACTGCATGAAAACAAGCAAATCAGGTAATGAAAAGAAGGAAACTGAGACTGCACCACAGGTGAACAAGTAAACTGCTGACTTCAGTTTGGTAAGTGCCAAATTTAATCCTAGATTTCAACGACATCTCGTTGCCACTCGGAATATTCAACCAGGAGAAGTTGTTTTTGTAGAAAGGCCATACGTATCGGCATTAAA